CTTCTTCACAATACCCCATAGATTTTCTATGGGGTTAAGGTCAGGAGAGTTTGCTGGCCAATTAAGAACAGGGATACCATGGTCCTTCAACCAGGTACTGGTAGCTTTGGCACTGTGTGCAGGTGCCAAGTCCTGTTGGAAAATGAAATCTGCATCTCCAAAAAGTTGGTCAGCTGCAGGAAGCATGAAGTGCTCTAAAACTTCCTGGTATGTGGCTGCGTTGACCCTGGACCTCAGAAAACACAATGGACCAACACCAGCAGATGACATGGCACCCCAAACCATCACTGACTGTGGAAACTTTACACTGGACTTCAAGCAACGTGGATGAAGTGCCTCTCTTCTTTTCCTCCAGACTCTGGGACCTTGATTTCCAAAGGAAATGCAAAATTTACTTTCATCAGAGAACATGACTTTGGACCACTCACCAGCAGTCCAGTCCTGTTTCTCTTTAGACGCTTCTGACGCTGTCTGTGGTTCAAGAGTGGCTTGACACAAGGAATGCGACAGCAGAAACCCATGTCTTTCATACGTCTGTGTGTGGTGGTTCTTGAAGCACTCACTCCAGCTGCAGTCCACTCTTTGTGAATCTCCCCCACATTTTTGAAGGGGTTTTGTTTCACAATCCTCTCCAGGGTGCGGTTATCTCTCTTGCTTGTACACTTTTTTCGACCACATCTTTTCCTTCCCTTCGCCTCTCTATTAATGTGCTTGGACACTGAGCTCTGTGAACAGCCAGCCTCTTTAGCGATGACCTTTTGTGTCTTGCCCTCCTTGTGCAAGGTGTCGATGGTCATCTTTTGGACAACTGTCAAGTCAGCAGTCTTCCCCATGATTGTGTAGCCTATAGAACTAGACTGAAAGACCATTTAAAGGCTTTTGCAGGTGGTTTGAGTTAATTAGCTGATTAGAGTGTGGCACCAGGGGCCATCAATTTTGAACCTTTTCACAATATTCTAATTTTCTGATATGATGAATTTGAGATTTTCATTTGTTGTCATTTGTAATCATCAAAATTAAACAAAATAAACATCTGAAATATATGAGTTTGTATGTAATGTATGAATATAATATACAAGTTTCACTTTTTAAATGGAATTACTGAAATCAATCTACTTTTTCATGATATTCTAATTTTATGACCAGCACCTGTAATTTAAAAGGCCATTTTCCCTGTGCACTTAAGCCCATAACTGACAAACTGTGTGGAACCAGCTAAATGAAGCAGCCAACTGGTGCCCATCCTAAGGCTATCTGGACTTGGACTGAGTACAAGAAATTGTACTGTTGAGATTTGTGCACATTTGTTGGTGCTTCTTCTTTATGCATATTTTAGAAGACTTAGAAACAGGCACAGATGTTACTTTAAAGAAAAAAAACAGAATAATGTTATATTGTGCATGTCAAAAAATGGAATGTTACACATTGCACATCTCTGTAGTTGGCTGGTAGATCAGTCAGGACTGTGAGTTAAACAATCACACAGATAAACTGCAAAAATATAATTTACAAAGTTCAACTGCAAAATGTATCATTTGTTTTATGTTTGTTTTCTTTTCACAATGTCTGATAGTTACAAATAAAATAGTACATATTGTCCCTATCTTTAGGATAATCCAGGGGCTGCATATATATTTTTTAGATAATAGAACTCAAGATGATTAAAACAACAGCAGTAATTTTACAATCAAGAAAATCTTGTGGAAATTAGCATGCTGCAAAATGACAGTTAACAAAATCACAGAAGAAAGAAAGGGAAAAGCTGAGGTCATGTTAAGTGCCAAGCTTTTCCAGATGGTGTTTAAATTTTTATCTATTCCCAGGGACTGATGTAGTTAAATTGCAAGGTTGATTAGAACATTTTTGGGTAGCACCAAGAGACAAATAAACCAACTTGATGAAAACAAGGTTAAAGAAAATGGTCTGTAGTCTTTTTAGAGGACATTTAGTACTATTAATAAGGATTTCAAATAACTATCAATCACAGATTAGTGTATGACTAAATTTGCTTTCATTTCTGATTTCTTCATTGTGCTTCTACTTAAAATGAGCACCTATTTGTGATGCACAATTTATTAGCTTGACTATTTGCACCATCTTCATAAAATCCCTATGTAATGCCACCCTCTCACTAATTTAAGATCATGCAACCCATAATTAAATGAAGTTATGCTTCTTTACATTGTAACTCATGGCGAAATTCACTTTATTCATATTTAGACTGCACAAACTTTGCACATTCATAGGGTGATCTGTTGCTGTTGCCATGTATTTCTATATTTTCACTTGAGTTTTTTCTGTTTTACAGTTATTGTCTCAAAACTACTATATTTGTTTAATGTGTTTTTTTTTTCCTCCAGCATTTTATTGTTGCACTGTTACAAGTGCAGTGCAAAAATTCCCTCTCTGCATTTAACCCAGTACCTTAGGGAGTAGTTGGCTGCCATTCGCAGTGCCTGGGGTGCAGTGTAGGGTTAAGGGTCATGCTAAGAGAGCCAGCCTGTGGGAGTGAGTTTCAAACTCACAACCTCAGAATTCCAAGCCCCATGACCTAACCACTAGACCACCAATCACTGTTTGTTGTTTGCTACTACACCTGTCTCAGTGCTAATCAAGTGGTTGAATAGAGGTTATTGCAGCAGAATTTTACTATTTGGTCAAACAGGGTGTGTTGTTGTGTTGTATTTTTTTTATGCCCAATAGCATCTTTATTCTCCTACTGTGAGTGCTGATTGCTTTGATGTCCTGAATATTTAGATTGGTCAGATAGCCGTTGAATTAAATTAGAAGAATGAAAGACCAAGCTCAAAAAAACACATTAAAAAATAAATCTAAATCAATGTTTATTCTAGATTTAAAAGGACAGCTTATCTAGAACAGATCATTAGGCCTTCCACAAACACGAGTGAGGTGCACCATTCATGTAGGAGAATAAATTGCATGTGAATGCCAAGAGGAACTTAGCTGTTTTGTTTCTTTTACTGATACTGTAAATGTTAGTTCCCAAAAGGAAAAGATCAGTTCAAGGAAAAGGTTCCTCCAACCACAACTGATTTGCAAGTAAAATTTGTTTTGGCTGTGAAAAGTATGCCAACTGTATTTCAATCCGAAAAACTCACATTAAGAGAAAAGACAATTAGAAGAAATGTATTGATTCAAAGTTAATTACTTTGAATCAATACTCACTCAGACCTCGGCAGGAAAGTCCAGGAAAGGCAGTAAGAGTCCGGGAGGAATGACACTCTGATGAAGCTTTAGCTACGAAGGTGGAGCAGGGGCTGGAGGTGGGTTGAAACAGGGTCATCTGAATGAACTCGCAGATGGATGAAGAAGACCAAGCAGTTTCTTCAGTTGAATTTCCGCCAAGGCTCCATATCAAAATATTCCTCATGTGCAGTAGGAAAATTACAGTTATTTGTTATTTGGAATCCATTTCATCCAAAGAATGTATTCCCTGTTCTTTTCTATAATCATTAGATTCTATGTATTTATGGCAAGCAAACCATATTATGTTATGAAATTCGTGGTGGAAGAAAATTCATGATACAGAAAAAAAATGTTGTTCTAATTGATTTACATTTTAAGCTGGATTTAATTTTATGCACTGCATTGATTTTTTTGCGCACTCAAAATGTGTGAGCAGTGCTTCCGACCAACACTATCCCATAATCAATCTAAATGACTATTAGTATAATTAGTCTATTCATATCACTATGGTAAGCAGCTCACTAAATCATGAAGATGATGTGGAAAAAAATAATGGGTATATTTCCTATCTTAGGCATATATAGAATCTATATATTATATAGAGATTCATAAAATACTATTTATAAAATTATCCATGAAAACAAACCTTTCCATCACTTGACAAGATAGATGATGTGGATGTTGCAGAAGCCATTTTGCAGCATGGGGGCCTCTGTATTGATGAAAGAAGAGAAGCGGTAGGAGCAGATCGTGTTGCTGCATTCTGGCTATTAGATGCTGCTGAAAATTACACACTGTAACTTTAAGAAAATAAAAATTAAATGTTTTTACAACTTGTGTTGTGATTTGCATAAGATATGTTAAAATATACACATACCCCATCCTATCTTGCTTGATTTTAATGTGTATAGCTTACAGCAGCTAAATCTGAAGAGATAAGGGTCATTGGGTTGAAAAAAAAACTGACTTGATTCCTAGTATTTTACCGTGGTAAGACAACCCTCCTGTGTTCAGCCACTATTTGGAAGTTCTGCTGCGTTTTTACATGTGAGTCACAACTGATAACCCTGCTTTTTATGCAGTATCTAATTCTACTAATTTGGCTACTAGAGAAATTAAATAAAACATTTTTATCATAATACTCGTGCCTGATGATATTGATGAAAAAAATGTATTGTAAAAATTGTAAATGTAATGTAAAAACATATTTTATCTGGATTGATTACCACCACGGCTACATCCACATCAGATTGGAGTGCAGTCTCAAATAACTCTGCCTCCATCTCAGCTAGCACAGCAAACAGGTCTCCACCTTTACTAACATGGCCACAGGACACTGGTCTTCAGACTCAGATAATTGGACTATATGTAACCAGACCACTGCCACCTCAGCTAACCAGGCTATGGAACAGACCTCTACTTCTGCAGACGAAGCCAGGGTTCCACACCTCCACCTCAAATGACCGGGCTGAATCTGAACAGTGGATGATTCAGAGAATGGAGCTTGCAAGGATAGTGGAGAAGGGGACAGAGGAGGGTTGGATCAGGGCCTTCAGAATCAAAGTCTGCAATATTTTCCACCAAGGCTTTATTAGTTTTATTTGTTTTTTTCCAATTTGAATATTTCTACAATCATATGGAAGGTCTAGCAGAAGCAGCTTTTAATTTGTCATACATTTAAAAAAAAATTTTTTTTTAAAAGGACACTTTTAAAAAATGTTTCAAAAGCATCAAGTTTTTTATTGTTCATTTGAAATTCACTTTCTTAAGGTTTAGAAAGATGCTGGACACACTTGTTTATTGTTGCTTTTATTCAGCATTCTACATTTTTAAACAGCAAAACAATCATTTGTAAATTTTGTAAAATTGTGCTTGTCATGACAAACCATATCTTTACATTCCTAACAAACCAGCTGAGCGGAGAAGAGTACATTTTTCAAATAAATCATGGCTTTGGGTTAAAATGTAAACTTGGCAGCAGTTAGACTGCTTCTATCAGCTAACAAAATAAGGCAAGAAAAAACAGTGGCCACAGCAGAGCAGCAGGGTGGGACTTGCACTGACGGCACTGTTGCAGTAGTCTCCCTGGCAGCAGCTAAACTTTACACCACTGTACATAGATAGCATTGAAGCAATTTTATCTGAGCACATGAGGTTGGAGGCACAGCCCTTCATTGTACTGTAGCACTAACTCCTGCTGCATTTGCTGAAAAAAAAAATCAGTGGATGATTCAGAGAAAGGAGCTTGCAAAGATAGTGGAGAAGGGGACAGAGGAGGGTTGGATCAGGGCCTTCAGAATCAAAGTCTGCAATATTTTCCACCAAGGCTTTATTAATTTTATTTGTTTTTTTCCTATTTGAATATTTCTACAATCATATGGAAGGTCTAGCAGAAGCAGCTTTTAATTTGTCATACATAAAAAAAAAAAAAAATTTAAAAGGACACTTTTGAAAAAAGTTTCAAAAGCATCAGGTTTTTTATTGTTCTTTTGAAATTGATGTTCTTAAGGTTTAGGAAGATGCTGGACACACTTGTTTATTATTGCTTTTATTCAGCATTCTACATTTTCTAACAGCAAAACAATCATTTGTAAATTTTGTAAAATGGTGCTTGTCATTACAAACCATATCTTTACATTCCTAACAAACCAGCTGAGCTGAGAAGAGTACATTTTTCAAATAAATCATGGCTTTGGGTTAAAATGTAAACTTGGCAGCAGTTAGACTGCTTCTATCAGCTAACAAAATAAGGCAAGAAAAAACAGTGGCACCAGCAAGAGCAGCAGGGTGGGACTTGCACTGACGGCACTGTTGCAGTAGTCTCCCTGGCAGCAGCTAAACTTTACACCACTGTACATAGATAGCATTGAAGCAATTTTATCTGAGCACATGAGGTTGGAGGCACAGCCCTTCATCGTAGCACTAACTCCTGCTGCATTTGCTGAAAAAAACAATTTGAATTTGTCATGTGAGTAACATGTTTGGAACTTTTGTTAAAAATGTTATCGAAATAATTATGGTATAAAACATGCTGGCCTCTTACCTGTCAGTTTCATGCAGTGGTTTTCCTCCCCTTGACAATTAACAGTCTGGGTGCAATCCTCTCCCTCGCAGCTGAAGCACTTTTTGCCATTTGGAGTGGATTTATAGTCTAAGATACAAAGATACTTATTCCTTGAAAGGATTAAAACTTAAAAAATTTCTCTTTCACCTTCACTTTAGTTTAATTTTAATTTAATCCATTCCTACTTCTACATTTAAAAATCGTATAAGTCTCAAGTAATACATGTTTGTTTGTTTAACTCTCTTAAGCAAAGTATGAAAATAAAAAAAAACCCACTAGGAATTCAATTACCTGGAAATTTGTTGTTACAGAGCTTTGTAGTGCAGCATGAGGTCATTTGTACGCTTTTGATTTTTCCAAGGTTAATGGAGCCTTCAATACAGTCTTCAGGCATGGCGCAAGCTTTGACTTCCATTTGAGGAATCTCATTTTCTCCTATGACAAAGAACGCATACGTTTAAGTCAGTTACAAACTAGCGGCCATAAACAATGTAAAAGTATACAGTTACACACCGTAATATGCAACAACTCTTGATGCTAGGCACTGGGACTTCTGTGAGGGACATTCTGCTATTTTGTCATTGCATTTCCCATAGGCATCCAGTGAACATTCATAGCATTGCAGGGAATCAGCTGTTTAACACAAAAAAGAATACCCACTTTTATGTCAACAAAGTATGAAGTAAACAATGTTACTTAAATATTTCTAGATACTAATACGACAAAAAAGGCTGTAACAGCATGAGAAGGAATATAATTTACAACACAGAATAAAAAAAAAAAAAAAACAGAAAATACCTCATATCTAGAGAGTTTTTAATATGTAGTAGTTTCTACCTTAAATCAAATCAGTTAACTGTGAGCTTTTTTATAAACCAATATAAAATGAAAAGAAGCCTAAAAAAAATAGTAAACAGAAGATAAGTGTAACCTAATGAATAACCCACACTCTTTGTAAAATAAAAATAATATTCAATTAAATAAAAAACTTACTTTTTGGGAGAAAGAATGCCCCAAGAAACAATATGAAGAGGAACATTTTGCTGCTGCTACACAGGTGAGTTCTACCTTTCTTGGTGAATATATACAGAACTTCTTGTGGGAGGGGCCTTTGACCACCAGTTGTATGCCTCCTACTCAACTGATGCAGCTACTTGAAATTAGGCAGATATTCCTGCTTGCTTTCTGATTTGTAGAATCATAATCCTTTTAATAATACATTTAAAAATGTTTTCCTTTTTCATTATTATTATGGTTTCCTATTGTAAAGACCTATTTTGTAGAAAAGGCTAAACCAAATTGGATACTTTTATGAGCATCCAACATTGAGATACTTGTCTTTCATAAGAAATTATAGGCATACGTATTAGATCGTTTAACAGTATCATTATACCAACAGTCAGTTTAGGCTTCCTTGAATAAGAATGGGACCAAAGGTATGTTTGTCAAGGAAGCAAGTGCAAAAAAGTTTTTTAGATGCTCAAAGCAAAGGAAAAAGTTATAAATTCATTTTAATAGTAGTGGTCTGATACAATTTTTTCATCATATGATAACCCCAAAAGCAGTTACAGACACTTTGCATTTGTTAGGGTTAGGTATTGTTTCCTATATTTTAGATCCAAGAATTCAATCTGGCACTATTCCTCTTGTGTGGGAAACGGTCCTTGTTGAATTAATAAAAGCAATACTACTGTAATTTTCTCAGATGGTTTTATCACAACATAAATAAAAAGGTTTCATTTCTGCTTTATGTGAACACATCTAGGCCTATTCTCTACATTATGTCCAACTATGTTAATTCTAGCTCAAACATATCAGTTTCATTTTATGAGAAATGAAACCTAAGCATTTCCCCTGAACTGACTTAAGTTTTTTAGTTTTAAAAGGAAGTAAGACTAGCACATAATCAATAACAGAACTAAATAAAACTAAAAGCTACTGAGCTTACATATAAATAATGATTAGATAAAAAGACTGTGATTACTATTCATGGTTGTATGTTTCGGCAACAAAAGAGAAACAATCCCTATCTAGCAGATGGTGATAGCATTTGCATTATCATTGGACCATGGCTTAAAACATTCTGAGTTAAACTCATAGACTAATGTCTTAATCATTAAACCATACCAATTAATATAAAATTAGCAGTTAGATCAGCGAAAATTAGAGTTTTTAATATCTTCAAGGACTTGCAATGAAATGGGCATGTTCCATGATGCAGAATGTTTCAACGAATTAAGGGATATAAATTACAAACATTAAGAGAAATGTATCATAACATATTGTTCTTAGCAACCTATAGTTATTAAGGAGTTTGTGATATGGTGTCAAAAAAAATCATCTGAACCTAAATAAAAAATAAAAAAAACACAAGGTAGATAATTGTCAATTTTAGAAGAAACAGGAAAAAGTTGGATACTATGACCATATAAGAAGAAGTGAAGGTCGTGGAGGAGTATGAATACCTGGTGTCCAGCTAAACAACAGACTGGAATATGAAGTCGTCTACAAGAAGGGACAGAAATGACTGCAGCTCTATTGGAAGCTTAGGTTCTTCAGTGTTTGCTAGCCTGGCCAGTCAGACTGAGTAACACATATAATTCACATGTAATTCATTACTTTGTGAAATGTGATTTTTTTTTTTGCGTTGCCGTTCCTATTTTCAAATATGAGTGACTTGTATGTTATCTCCTGTGTTAACTGCAGTCATACAACGCAAATGTCCCACATGTGCAGTAGAGGACACAATGACATCACAGGCCAACATGCTCTGTATTTACAATAGTAAACATCGATGGCAGTGCCTATGGTAGAGCCTATCTAGCGATTTTTCCCAACCATAAAAACACAATCTTTGCAAGATGGTTAAACGTAAATACTGCGCTCCGCATTATCGTCTGCCATGGTTGTTGTTTTTCTTGCCGCTTCTTCATAGCAAGACCCAGAATAGTGACCTTTGTCGGGTATTAATGGCGTTCAGGTCGGATGAATGCGACCTGGCCATTCAGGCACAGTTTTGCATTTGAAAAAATACGATTAGTATCGGATTAAGGACCACATAGCCAAATGGCCTGGGTTGCATTGGAAAAAATCGGACCTGTGTTGTTCAGACAGCCATGAAAAGATCAGATACAGGCAGCATATGGGCCAAAAAAAATCAGATTTGGGTCCCTTCAGGCTGCAGTGTGAAAGTAGCCTAGAAGAAAATGAATGAAGTTTAGATGAATGCTGATTCTTCCGGTTCATAGGTCAGTATTGGTGGCACTTCCTATGACTCAGTAGCTCTCAGCCTAAAGGTTGGTTGGCACTATATAAATTAACCGGTTTAGTTGAACTATTTGTTGTTTTAAAGTTATAGAGGACCATCTTTTATTTCTTAGTGGACCATCTAAATAAGTGGTCGTCCCAATTGTCAATCATTCTGGTGATATGTTTATGTGAGGATGTCCTACATGCCCGTTCCGTTAGCTATGTGTTTCTGCGCATGCACACTTTCAGATGAGCTATGGTTTCGGACAGTCATTAAAGCTCACCTTTCTAATCTTTGAAAATGGCAAAGGGTCGTAATAGAAAAAGTGTCTACAAAGTGTATGAGAAGAAAAGAAAGGCCTCAGAAGAGGCAGATATATCCTGGAATGCTTTGCACGGAGAGCTCTCCTCGCAAAGCATTATGGAATTTTCTGTGACAGGTAACAGAATGGTAAGTTGACTGAGCTCACTATAAAGTCCCTGCTCTATATAGTGATTGAGGGATTTAGGGGTTAGGGCAGACGTTCGGACACGGTAACCTTGTATGCGCTATGAGTACAGCAACTTTTAAACAGAGCATGCACCAGGAAAAATGGGCTTATGCATGCTGTCACATGCACATTGTTTTTTTTTAAAGTGGAGAGGGCATGGGTTTTTAAAAATCTAATAAAATCCTCCAAAATACCTTTAAATTAAATTTAAGATGGATTTCACCTCTTTTCCTCATTATAAACTTTAGTACAATATAACTATCCACACTGAACTGTGAAATGATTGTATCATTATGTTGGTAATTGGTTCTATTAATTTGCTGTAATTGTACTTAGTAGTTTGAAATATTTTTGCCTGGACTTGGATTTTTTCACATGAAAAATTCTTGTATTTTTGGAATGTTGCCTTCTCATTGGTTGGCTGGAATTTCACATGTCAATACATGACATGTCAAAAGTTTTTTTGTTAAAATCAAATAACCAAACCTATTGAAGTTCAACAGGAGTGGGATGTCAAAGGGCAGCCAACACAGAAAAAAACAAATAACCTGTATCTAGAAACAATTTAACCATAAAACTATTTTTATTATAGTTTTAAATGTACAGTTTCTCTATTAAAGATCGTATGACCTTTAACAAACACCCCATAGCAGGTTTTTCGTGTTGAAGGAAAATTTGCTGGGGAATGCAAACAGCAACTTGGCTGTTTTGACTAATATAACGACTCTGTAAATTTCAAGTCCCTTGAGAAAATAGATCAGCACCAAGAAAGGGTTCCTCCTTTGAAAATGATTTGCAAGTAAAATATGTTTTGCCTGTACCAACTGCAGATCAAAATGCTCTCCAGGTGCAGCAGGAATAGTAGAGTTGTTTGTTATTTAGAATTCAAATAATCAAATTTGCCTAAAGAAAAACTAACTATTTGGACATGTATGGATATGTATAAGAATATGTTGCACAAAGAGAATCTAATGAGAGTCAAAAGGGCTATTCCATTCCCCTCTTTCTAATGCCTTCTCCGTATCCATGAAGGGCACTCATCTGACTGACATGGTGTGTACAACAGTCGAACAGCTGAATTATTTTTTATGTGTATTGGAGCTTTTTTAAAAGAAAGAAATCGTTCATGCTAAATCTATAGAAAATAAGCAAACCAATTTCTATGCGTTATTTGATTTTTTTATGAAAAATAAAGACACTCAAAATGACAACATGAAAGTCTTGCATTTCTCAAAGAAACACAATCCAAAAACCAGTGTACAAAATAGTTTGATACAGGTGAGCACTATTAAACTTCGGTGGGGTTAATGTATGAGAAGTACTCTTAAAACATAGGTTTTCTGGCATAGCTTCTAACCACTCCGTCCACTCTTAATTTATTACAGCTATACAACGATCAGTTGTTAATCCCATAATTTTTACATATTTTTTATTTGTAAATGTATCATTTATTTTTCAGAGCACTCATTTATGGTAATTTTAAAATTGCTTCTAGGTTGACTTAAAAATATCTTTCTTTTGTGGTACTTATCTTATTCAAAAACTCAATATCTACTTGAAAGAAGGTAACTTCAAAGGGTAGTTTATTTGTGGTCCTCCACTTCAAGTTTCATAGTTAGCAACCTGGTCATGTTTATGTGATTACATATAAGCAAGGTGTTAGAACACAAATTGCAGATATACAGAGCAACAACAACATACTTTTGCTGTTTCCTCTATGCAGTTAGAACTTAAAAAGTACGATAGACATATAGACATAACTATAAGAAATAGCACAGTATAACCTCACAATTTTGGATTTGGAAAAGTAAAAGATTTTGTCTTCAAGATATGCCTGCAGTCTATGTTAAATGTTACTTTCAACGGGATTCATGGATAAAGGTAGCAGAGTATCATCAGCATAACAGGGGAAATTAATCCCATGCTATCTAATAATTCTACTAATTGGGAGCATATATATATAGTAAAGAGAATTGGTCATAGAACTGATCCCTTCAGTACTCCACAGATAACTCTGGAGCTTGATGAAGATGAATCATTAACATGAACAACCTACATTTTCAGACAAAAAAGATTTATACCAGCCTAGTACAGTTCCTTTTATTCCTAGCAAAGTTTCAAGGCTCTTTAAAATAACATTGTGATAAACTGTAGCAAAGGCGGCGCTGAGACCTAACAGGGTGAATACAGATACAAGTCCATTAATCTAACGCCATGAGATGAAATGAGATGAGATGAAATTAGATTTATTTGAACATGATACAAATATAAAAAAATAAAATAGTGCACAGTAACAAGAAGTGCATAAAAAAGAAGAGAAAAA